TAAGGCATGTTATTAATGATTGCATCACGATGAGGCCAAATATAAAGTTGACCCAACTTAAAATACATCAATGGAATCCAAGTATTAAAAACAATTCCAGATGACTGCAGTGATAGTTTGAACCTAACTGACAAATCTTTCAAACCAAAGTTATGCCTCAGTCTACATAAAGTTAAAAAGAGTCCATCTTGCAGTGACAACTTTTTAATATCTTTTCGACCTTTTTCATAATTTACTGAAGATCCATCTGAGACTAAAAATGCCAAGAGACCAGCAAATCTTATGTATACAATGCCAGTGTAATATTTGAGCAATTTTTTGAATTTTCCCTCTCTTCTTATCATTTTGTCGACTCTAAATGATAGCTTCTGATCCTTTGATGATAGTTTGTCTTTAAGTTCCTTTATTTCCTATTTCAGGGTGTAGATTGTAGCTTAGTGCTTCTTCTCTTTTTCTCCTAACATTTGTAGCTCTGTGGCCATTGCAAACATCTCAATTGGAGAAATCCCTAAAAAAAATGAAAAAGATTAATTTCAATCTAATACTTACTTACACTTACTTCAGTTTTATACAAGTGGAGTTTTTTTTCAGACAAATAACATTAAGGAGGTTGAGCTACCCATATCAGATGGTTGTGGCAATACTGATGTATTCCACCCAGCCCCTGTACCATTGCCACAATAGTATATGTATTTGAATTTGAAATACAAAGAGTGTGATCCCATTAAAAATGAATTGTATACATGAGAACAAAGTGATTCAGCACAATGGTACTTTCCAGCTAGGCATATCCACACCTGTGGGCAAGTTATTAACAAGGAATTTGCCTTTTTAGGGGCAACTCCTGATGGTAAGGTGTGCGACAATGGTCACTGCGGACTTATTGAAATAAAATGTCCATATTCTGCTAGGAATATGACAATTGCGGAAGCATGTGAGAATGTGCGAGATTTCTTTTTGTGTAAAAACAATGAAATCACATTGAAAAAAAAGAATCATGCACATTATGCTCAAATTCAGGGCCAACTCATGATCACAGGTTGTGCATTTGTGATTTTGTTGTTTTCACACAGAAAGATATCTTTGTGGAGAGAATACAGCCCGACCTTCCGTTTATGACCAATATGCTGGAAAAATTGTGTGTTTTTTTCAAAACCTACGCAAAGCCATTTCTTGCTAAACATACTGTCCAAAATTAAGTTCGGTAACTAGGAAATTTTTGAATGCTTACAAGGTTCTTCTGTTTGTGTAGATATGTTGTTACTACTGTTGATGTTGATTGACGTTTCAGTTTCTGTTGTTGAGTTCAAATCTTCTCCATGTTCTTCTATATCTGTTGTACTATAAAAAATTTAAAAAATTAGTATGAAAGAAAAAGATTTTGCATCTGCCATGCAATGCCCACAATTAACTAGCTGGTTATAATGGAAAATAAAGTGTGCATAAAGTTACCAAAATTGAAAATTTAATATATAAGAGAACAAATAATAATAAATTATGGTACTTCAAATTCACACTACATGTGATCACCTGAGACCTCAAGGTCTCTGGTGTTTTTGCAGCGACTATTTCACTCTTTGATAGATATGTTGTGATTGACGTAATGAATGGAATAGGCTGTTTCAGTCAGTAACTGCAGTACTGCTCTTTTGCGGGGCAAAATGATATACGTACATATAGTTCGGTGAAATATGACAAAAGTAATTGTTTTAAATACATCATTTAATTATCTGTCAACAAAAACTTCACCAAACGTTATAATTTTGCCCAAAAGTTTACTACTGCAGTTACCGTGAAGGGGCTTATAGTTGATTGCTGGTCATTATCGAAAAACTAAAAATTGTCAATTTGTGCGTTTTTAACTTATAATTTCAGTTACCTTCGAATCCTTTTTTTCTTTGACACTGGGTTACTCTCGGTGAATGAGCTAGTTCGTTTGGAAAGTGGCCTTGTCCGTCTAACAGCTGATCCATCAGCTTGTAATGGGTCAGGAAATTCAACGGTTGGTCCATTACCTCCCACAAAATGCTGTAAATAATTCAGTAACATTGACCTCAATGACAAACTATATGATGTTTTAAAGTTTTATTACATAAATAATAGCAACACCGAAACACACATACATATTAATTACCATCTCTTGCATTATGAATAACGTAGCCAAACTTTACAAAGATGTGTAAAATCAATGCATTCCGAATTTGTACGGTATGCAGGTATGGTATATTCCTGAAGTTCTCGGACTAAAATTGTCGTGTATACAGCTCATATTATAAGACTCAGTGTGCACAACAGTCATAAACATTAAATTATAACCAGCTGTACCTTTGAACAAACAGCTTTGTGTTTGTTTATTCTCTGAATGTTCAACTGTTCGTGTGGACGTCCGCAAGCTTTGATCCACCGAAGACATTTCTGGAAATTAGTTTTCGGTTTAGGGAACAAAATAAGCTTAACACCATTCTGTAACCTCTCAGGATATCTCTCGTCAACATTTTATTTTTAAGAAGTTTATATTTTTGAGAATGCCATGCCACTAGCAAATTTGCTAAAAAAATTATCTACAGCAAAAATTTCCAGATTTACAGTATTCTGTGAAGAATTGATTGAGTTTCTAGAGAAAAAAAGTAGAAATATACTGTGTTAAATCTCTCAGAGATAAATCTGATCTTGTTCTGTGCCTTGTTTTCTGATAAGTAACCTAATTGCAAAAGGAATCAGAAAATTTGGAAAAGAGGGTAGGGGTGAGATACAAAGTCATATTCTGACTTGAGCAACTGATTGAGTTTATACATTTTTTTTTTTCAAAAGAAAATTATAAAGTTTCAAGAAGACTGTAAACCAACTTTTATTCTACCGCAGGTAGGTTAAGGTCTCAACCACACTTTCTACTTGCCTATATGTCATGACGTCATAGTAAGCTATATGACGTGAGATAATAATTTCTTAAAATCGATATCTAAGATTGATTTGAGGTCGTAAAAATGAATCAAAATATGCAGAGGCATAATATAAACGAAATTTTGTCGTTCCTGGGCCTCTGTAGTTATCACAGGGGTTACATACCAAACCCGTGACGTCATAACTGTTGATCATGCAGTAGCAGAGTGAAAGTAAAATGTAACGAGAATTGATGTAAACAAACACAAGAAATCGGATTTTAAAAGCATTTAGAATGAATATCATGTGTGATTCTTGTGGGAATTAAGCGTATGAATAAGGTATGGTAATATAATTTAGCAATTTCTTCGTAAAAGTATAGCAGGGAGGGTGTTTACTTGCCGATCAGTCTTTCCTCTGTCGTTCGTAACAAAAAGATGCAAAAGTTCAACACTACGCCGCATACCTTGAAACTTAATTTTTGTTTCTATCTAAAGTTGTTATTCTATTGGTTTTGGAAAGGGCTGCTAGAATCGTATGGTTTACGGGAATTGATGCTTTTTTTCAATGTTATGAACAAAATGTAAATATTTTGGGAAGGTTTCGTCCGAAATTGTTGAATAATTATTTCTACAATAGGACAGTACGATTCTAGCAGCACTTTTCATGGTACAGAGATGTTTTTACATAACTATTATTACAAATTGAAACTAATTATCCCCGGGGTAGTGTTAAACTTTTCACTTTTTCATTAAGGCATATTTTCTAATTATAGACGTCACGTGGTGACGTTTTGGTGAAGTGCCTCCTGTAGTATAAGTCCCATTGAAGTCTATAGAATGCATAATTATAGTACAAGTTTTATCCTTGACTCATCTGATTTATTAGTGTTACATAATTATAAAAAAGTGTTAATTCGCCGAATTCTGATCCATCTGCTGCCTTAACATACCCGCGAGTGCGAGAAATGTTGGCAAAGTTCGCGACAGTCTCACAATCGCGAATATTTCTCGCCACGAACCGGTACTTTACACCTCTCTGTCTATTTACAAAAGATTGAAAGAGGCCTGATCGCGAAAATTAATCGTCACCAAATAGTTTACCCTTGGTATATGGGGAAATAAAGTCGTTGCGAATTAAAGTTGGTTTACAGTATGTTAATTCAGAATCCAACTATTTATTCAAGTCTATTTTCAGATAATGGTTTTACAGGGGAATGATAGAGGAACAGACTCCATTCAAAGCACTCTTTTCAATCAACGTCAACCATTCTTAAATATTTCTCAAGAACCAGAAACTTTCCAAAAGAAATCTTCAGTCTTACGTATTCAAAGTTCTTACAAAACTAACTACAGAAAGTCCTTAAAACACCCAGCAGTCTAGCACTGTAAACATCAGTGTGTGTTATGTAGAGAAATCAAACACTCCAACCAGTATATAATCTTAGATCAACTCTACTTCAGAGCCCCAAGTCTCTCCGATTCCATTAACTATGATGTAATAATAAATATACAATTAAAGCACATAGATCAACAGTTAAATCTGAGACAAACATCTTACAAAAGTCTTCAATATTTAGTTTTCTGTAAGCAGAACTCAAATTCTTACAGTCAATTAAATAAACTGTTAAGCAAAGTGTTCCCCTACCCACACAGTTAGGTTACACCCCCCCCCCCCCCCAACTCTTGCTGTTTAACTCCTTTAATTTTCACACTCATCTTTCTTTGATAGTTTACCATTCCTTATACCCATTTCATATTTGCATTCCATTTCTTCTCTAACTCTTTCTATTTAACCACTCTCTATGATTCCTCAAATTTTTTTTATTACTATCCCCCATCCCCAACCAAACCCTCCCTGCAACCCACATTTCCATCCCCTTATGAAACTCCCAACAGTAGCTCCTTGACATATTGATTTAGCCATACTATGACTCCTCTTATATTTCATTTTTTTGACATTTCCTGACACCTTGATTTAACCACACTATGAATTCTCTTATATTTCATTTCTATGACTTTTCCTGACACCTTGACTTAGCCACACTATGACTCCTCTATATTTCACTTCTATCACTTTTCCCTGACACCTTGACATAGCCATGACTTTTCCTGACTTACCATTTCTTCCAGTTCCTCTTCCTCTCTAACTCTTCAAGTTCTTTCCTCTGGTCTTCGTCCATCTTTTTAATTTTTTCTCCGAAATCGTACGTCATGTCTGCCGCTTGTATCTTCAGCTTGATCTCATATTGAACTTTGAACTTTGACTGCACGTCCATGATCTCAGCTCGGTGTTCATGCTCCAAGTCCTGAAAAGCATTTCCTCATTTTTCACATTTGTTTCTTTTATTTGTATAGTAATACTAAATAGATACCTTAATTCCAATTTCAATGCCCTCAATCTGCCTTCTCCCCCCCCGTTCTTTCTCTCTCCTATTTCAATGCCTTCTCTCTCACCCCTTTCTCCCCCTCTTCTCTCTCCATTTCTCTCTCTTTCTTATCTCTTTCATTGCCTCTACTTGCTCTCTCTCTTACTCTTTCTCAGCTGTCCCAATGCCTCTATCTGCTTCCTATGCTGATACTGAAGTTCATCATACTGCTCCTCTAACACTCTCTCTCTAACTCTCTCTCACCTGTCTCAATGCCTCTATCTGCTCCCTATGCTGATGCTGTAGCTCGTCGTACTGCTCTTCTAACACTCTCTCCTGCTCCAGTGATGCGTCTAGTTCTTGTTGAGGTTTCAGAAGTTTATCACTGATCTCGCCCGTTGTTCTCTCGCTTGAACCTTCACACTCTGCGAGGTCTCTCCTACAATTCTCCTCCACTTCTTCCTTCTCTCTCTCCAGAATCTTCAATATGGCCTCTTTTTCCTTTAATCTATTGTTCATTTCTTCAATATGGCACTGTTTTTCACGCATCATTTGCTCCATCTCTGTGATCTTGCTCTCTGTCAAGGTCATTTTCTCCCTGAGTTCTATATTTAATTGAGACTCTAATTCTAGTTTCTCCTGAAGTTCAGCAATTTCATTTGATTTTTCCTCCAGTATTTTTTCTAATTCCTGGATCCTGCTGTCAGTGTTTGTCGTTGCTTTTCTTTTATTTGTTTCACTCTGTTCACTGCTTTTTTGATTCTGTTCATCACTTGGTGATGTCACTTCCTGTTTCAGTGATGTCACTTCCTGTGTTGTAGCTTCTAGCTGACTGCGTAGTTCTTTTATTTGAGATTCATAATGATCTTTTAAATCCTGGATTTCTTTTTCATTCTCTTCCTTTAGTCTGGTCTGCATGGCCTCTTCTGTAAAATAAAACATGTTATCAAAGTTTAAAAAGCTTAAAAAACATTATCCTGGTCACTCATCTGGAAAATATAGATCAGATCCAGTATCTGATGCTATCTGATCTGCACTGCACAATCCTGGTGAATTTGATCTATTTATAACTCTGGTGTAGTTGTTCTATTTATAACTCTAGTGGAGTTCTTTTTATAGCTCTGGTGGAGTTGTTCTATTTATAACTCTGGTGGAGTTGACCTACTTATAACTCTGGTGGAGTTGATGTATTTATAAGTCTGGTAGAGTTGATCTATTTATACCTCTGGTGGAGTTGATCTATTTATAACTCTAGTGGAGTTGTTCTATTTATAACTCTGGTGGAGTTGACCTATTTATTACCTGACTGTTCCTCCACTTTAGTTTGAAACACTTTGATCTGCTCCGCGTAACTCTAGTGGAGTTGATCTATTTATAACTCTGGTGGTGCTGTTCTATTTATAACTCTGGTGGAGTTGACCTATTCATTACCTGACTGTTCCTCCACTTTAGTTTGGAACACTTTGATCTGCTCTGCGTAACTCTGGTGGAGTTGTTCCATCTCTCTCTGGAGTTTCTCCACTTCCTGTGTCTGGGTTGCCATGACTTCTGCTCGGACCTTGAGAAGTTGTTCGTATTCCTCTAACATACAAGGACGGAGCGCCGCAATCTCCTCACGCTTGGTCTCCAAAGTCTCCTGGACATCTGGAAAATAATAGTGAACCATACTTATAGAAAACACCCATATAATGAATTTACACTTAAAGTAGTGATTTTCATTCCCAAAAACTTTTAAATATATTGTAAACTTAACAGGTGTAACAAAGCAACATTGTCCATTCTTGGCATTTCATTTTAAGCATGTTTTTCCTATAAAAGGACCAATGGGCAACATGTTGTAATATTCTGAAGTACCTAGTATTTAGAAATTTTACTGTAATTTTACGGCAAAGCATGCAGAAAGATTATCAATCATATTTATATTGATTTCGTAGAGACAACATTTCAGTACTATCTTCACAATGCAACAGTTTTGAAAAATGTCATTACAAAACTTCATAATGAGAAGACAAATACTGGAGTAATTCCTACCAACATTTTGCAAAATACACAGAAAATAAAAATGATTTCAGCTCAAAAAACAAATTACAATTCATTTACCTCATTAGAAAAATAGAATTTACCCTAAAGAAATATAATTTCCCTCTGATCCATGATACTGAGCACGAAATAAATTTGTTAAAAAGTGATCTGAAAGTCAATAAATAAGGAGGATTGCATAGAGTTAATCAGTGTGTACAATATGCCCCCTGTTGGACCACTGGGTTTAGTGGTGAAGTCAGTGTCAACACATTAACATAGAAATGTTGTTTGATTTCACACCAAATCACAAAGAACCATCAGTTAAAGGGAACATTAAGGAGAAAATAAAGAAAACACTCTCCAGTTTATAGTACTATACATGTACATAGAGGCGTCCTAATTTTATACACAGGGTAACTGACATAAACTCAAGGTAGTTTAGTTTCACTTGTTAGTTAGGAAATAAAGGAACTACTATGGAGAAAGGATGGTTTTGTGAAAAATCTCATGGTTCTTCATCATGTTCATATTACATACAGAATCCAAAATTTTACATGTCACACAATTTTTTTTTTCACTTAATTAGTTGAACTCTGCTAAAAAGTAACTTGAATTTGAAGGCTGGTGCACTGACTGGAATTAAGTAAACTGGTCACCAGGTCATCATACATGTAACTAAATCCAAGAGTTTAATTAATTAGGACTTTAATTAAATTCCATAAAAGCTCATTACCAACATCAACAGTGTTTCAGATTTAAATTCCGATTTCAAAAAAAACACAGAGTCAGTCCCTTGTTCATGACAGCCATTCAAGATGTTTTAAAACAACTAAATAGAAAACATCATACCCTTGTCTTCATTGAAATGACATGATAGGAATTCAATTTACATACCAGTAAGATATTTTACTTTTTGAAAACATAATCTTCTTCAGAGGGATTCCTGAATTTAAAGGGGAACTCTGAATTTTCATTTTATATTTAAACCAAAAGGCTCCTGACCGTTTCCGATTGTAGAAATGAATTCATAAAAGAAACAAAGATAATGCTGATTTTAAAAGTAAAATTTAGCTTACATGCCTTGTATGTAAATTGATTCCTATCAGAAAATCAGAAATTAAACCAGGCTTTATTCAAAGAAATGTCTACGACATGTAGAATAAGAAATGTTAAGATAATATATATATTTGGGGAGTTTTTTTTTAAATGAAGAATTTGTTTTCAAATTCATTGACTTTTTGTTAAATGCCGTGTCCACAGAGAAATCAATTTCCTGGAAGATTGTTAACATATATGATTTTTATCTACACTAAATTCTGACATATAAAATAAGTAAAAACGTATAGATCTTTTCATAAAAAACCTTACTCCATTTGATAATTGACAGTAGTTTTAACAATTTTTAGCCAGACTCTTGAAACACATTCCTATTACATCAACTTATCATCAAAAGAAATTGATTCATGATCAAAACTCATAATTGCAAAGCCCGCTATGCATAAATTATCCCATCTTTCCGATATCGTTGATGTTCCTGGAATACTCTACTAACTAGACAGTGATTCTTTATATTTCCATTTTACTATATAATCAAAAGAGCCCCACCCTAACACCAGAACCCCTGAACCTCAGGCCATAAAATTCACAATTTTGGTAGAGGCACTCTTGCTCATCATAACTATGCACGAAGTTAATACCCAGGAGCAGAAAAGAAGATTTTCAAAGAAATAATGCATTTTCACTATATAATCAAAGGAGCCTCACCCTAACACCAGAACTCCTGACGCTAGGGCCATGAAATCTACAATTTTGGTAGAGCCATTCCCTTGCTCATCATAACTAAGTACTTCGTTTGTTTTTTTAATACCTAGGAGCAGAGAAGATTTTCAAAGTATTAATGCATTTTCACTATATAATCAATAGAGCCCCATTCTAAAACTAAAACCCCTGATCCTGGGGCCAGTACATCAAGTTGTGACGCACGTCGACGGACAAAAACAGATAGCAATAGGTCACCTGAGTAACTCTCATCAATATGTACATGTAACAGCATATGAAGTTTGATGAAAATATCTTAATTTCTTTGAATCTGAGCTTTGAACTGAGCTAACTGCAAAGTGTGACGGAAATACAGAAGATGGACATAACAAACACTATCTGCCCTGGTCTTATTCATGGTGGGACACAAAAACCATTCTTAGCAATCCACAATTTGATACCTATCCTATTATAATGCTACACTTTTGCTTAAGGACAAAACTAATTCCATAGCTGGAAATATTTTAAGCCAAAGTTTAAGGGTTATTAATCTCAAGTCTGTATCAGAAAATTTCGTCGAAAGCAACAGGAGTCCATAATACATGCAGGAAACGAAATTGATAACTGGAGTTATATTGGGTAAGTAGGAAATTTAACATTTTGACAGAATTTGATTTGGTAAGAAAGTTTCTATATTTCCTACGCAGAGTTAACTGAGATACGTCTAAAATATTATATTCACTTGCAAATTAGAATTGTAGATGTCTGAGCTTGACCCCAATACCTATCTAGAGGAAGCTCCTTGAGGTTAAATCAGCAGAAAGGAATATACTCCACTGAAAATGGACTCTATTAGAAGCTCACAAATGTAAGTTCTCATGACAAGAATTTTTAACACTAAAAAACAATTCCTTATTCATCTCAATCAGTGTAATCAGTGTAATTTGTTGACAATAAAATTGGTTGTAAATTTTTACACCACTGAATTTAAAACATATACATGTAATATATATATATATCCTAGACACGTTTATTTACAAATTTAACTATTTAAAAAAAATGAATGATTTAGTTGAGTTGAAAAATAACTGATTCAGTTGAGGTAGTATTTTTTATTTTATGATTTTTGAATGTAAAAATTATCAATAATGAAAATTATATTATAGTTTTACAAAAGTGAAACATTACTTATACAAAAATATAAATTCCACTTTAATCACTCTCAGTACTGAAGGCATACAACGCATATCAGAGTCAGTGTTTGTGGGACTGTGTGGTAAAGTGGGGACCTCACAAGTGGTGGCCATGAGGAGAGATACGATGGACATCGAGGAGATGGTGGTAAATCAAGCGAGAAGTGATGGGTTGTGTGTGATTTTGAGTGGAAGTTACGGTGAAGGACTTAGACTGAAAGGATCAGATCTAGACTTTATGTACTGGCGAAATAATCACCGTGTGATCTGGGAATTATCTCAGTCTCAGTATTACAACACACACAGACAGACACTGATCCTCTGTGACTGTTCTGATAGTCCGCCAGGATTTACTTTGTTATATTTACTGTCACCTAGCATGTATAGACAAAACCAGAGAGTCTGTGTAAGAATGAATAACAGATATTGTATATCTAGTTCTAAATACAGACAGATCACTTTATCTGAGTCATCACTACCTTATTACACCACTCCACATGGACCCTGTGCCAGTGGAACATTTGGAACACAAGAATATGATAATGCCTACTGTTTTTTTAGTGACTTTTGGCCTCCCTCTGCCTTTCCATGGATAGACAGATGTCACTCATGGCCCCAGCCTCATGTTGTTGATGATATAGTGAAGAATGGATGTCACTTTGTAGCAATTGGACATAAACTAGGGAATCATGAAGATCATGAATGGAGAATTTCTTTTTCCCAAGCAGAACAAAAACTTGTGTATATAATGAATCACTGTCAATTCTTAACTTATGGCTTACTTAAATTGATCTTAACAGAAATAATTAACAATGGAGTAAGTGATAATGATAAATTACTGTGTTCCTATCACATGAAGACGGCAGTTTTCTGGGTGATTCAACAAAATGCAATACCTCACTGGTGTCCACAAAATCTCCTGGGGTGTTTCTGGGTCTGTTTTAAACTCATCCTCAAATGGGTGCATGAGGGGGTCTGTCCTAACTTTTTCATTCCAGGCAACAACATGTTTCTGACAAAAATTCATGGCGTCAAACAACATCAACTATTTATAAAACTGTCAGATTTGTATGAAAAGGGTTTAGCATTCCTGCTTCATTGTCCCTCCATTAGATCTTGTATTATAGATGTCCTCTATAACCCCAGAAACTTCATCTGTACAGATGATCATACTCTGATTTCTGACTATCATTTTGATTTATATCTTTTTGGTGAATCACTAAGTTCTTTCATAGTTCTAGACAAAGATGACATACAAATATGTATTAGATATTTACATACAATAGAACAGATGATAGGTTCACCCCTCCTGACACATTATCAAGTCATTATGCTACAGAACATGACCGCTACGGTCCTTCAGTTCACTGCTTTTATATTACATATGGAAACTTACACACCTGACAACAAACTGAGGTATAGAGCTGACAAAATGTCCTGTCACATGCTGAAATTAGCAGCAAAGTTTGGTTGTATTACAGACATGCTGTACATAGCCATGTATTATTACAAGACACTTAGATACACGGAAGCTTTATCTATTATAGAGATGATCAAGGTCAAGTAAGCACAGCCATATGTGATGGATATAGGTAATTTTAATAGAGAGATGTATACTGAGGCTTTAGGGGGACAGTCTTGGTCTACAAAGATTAGACAGGCTGTAGCAGGGGATATCACACTTTGCAACAGAATTCATTACATCAGTGAACTGATACCTGAACAACAGTCTGCTCTACAGAGACACGGGCCTTTTATTTTTGTACCACTCTTTATCCTGTTATACATGCTTGAGATTTTGTGCTACAGACATGTAGACACAATGCGAGCACAAACAGCTCTAGATGATCTACAGACCCTAGTTCACTATGATCAGGGAGAGTTTATACCTTTATATCTCAGAGATATATCATGGCAAATTCTGGGGATCTGTCAACAGGTGACAGGGAACCGTCAGGCTGCTCTATATTCATACCAACAATCCTTCAGACAAGAACCAATAAACAACCTACAAACAGCTACAATTATCAGAATTATTATACTGATTTACAGACTTTATTTCAGTTAATTGTTGTTTGTGAGCACAGTTAAATGAATAATATATATAGCAGGCTGCTCTATACTCATATCAACAATCTCTCAGACAAGAAGCATTCCTCAAATTACACACAGCTACAGAAATGAGAATACAGAGTTTGTCAATGGATTCCCTTAATTAATCAAATGGCACGATGATCAGATATTTTGTTTTTTCCCAAACAATTACTGTTTTATCCTTTTACCACAGAGAGAGAGAGAGAGAGAGAGAGAGATAGAGAGAGAGAATAGTTAAGAGAGGGATACCTTCAGTATAACTGTTTGTGTTCATCACTAAGTTTGTTGTTGAGTTTATGAAGCCATACCTAAATACGGAAGGAAATATGACCAAGCTCTATTTAGTATCAATATTAACACGGAAAATTTTGTTACAATAAAATACTTTGAATAATAAGATATATATCTTCTGGAAATACATTTTTTTCATGACAGTCGTTTCTGACAAGGAAGAAAATAATTTTTATTACCTGATGGGGATTTCTCTACCAGGAAGCTTAGGATTTTTCTCAAAAGCGTCTATAAATGTAGAATATTTATTGGTTTTTCTGTTTCAGTCAAATTTCTTTTTAAATGTAATGATCGTCTTGTTTTCACGTGATTAGAAAGAGTAAGGTTACCAAAACTTTACACACTCTTATAAGTAAAACAACCAGGGTTCTATTTCCGGCAAGATTTTTAATGTTCATACTTTTCTGTGTCGGGTGGGGTATAAAAACAATGTTTTATGAAATGTATAGGTGCAAACTCTGAGACGTGCTACTACTCCACATGCTCGCTGCACGAACGATTCACGAACGCCACGCGGTTTGCACGAAACGCTGCACGGTTTACACGAAACGCTACACGGTTTGCCCGAAACCCTACACGGTTTACACGAAACGCTTTGCACGAAAGACTGCACGGTTTATACGAAAGGCTTCACGAAACGCTTTGTACACGTTTCTCACACGCTTTGTACACGTTTCTCGCACGTTTTGGTCTCAGTTTGGATTTTTTACTCGGTATATCTTGGACATTTATGCGGTTTCATCATTAATTAAATGGAAATCTTTCACAAAGCCACATTAAGCAGATGTTTAGATTAAATATTAGTACATTAGTATCATTTAAACCGATAGAAATATTTAATATTCTGGCAGTTGTAATGAATTAATAAGTAATTGTCGTTTCGTATTTATTTATTTATCCAAATGTTTAAAAACAAAATACCGATGTTATGAATGACTGTTTGATAAAATACAATTTTTATATATTAGTCATTCATTACAATTTATTTCTTGCATTTAAATAATTTTACGAGTATAGTTTGATACATTTAACAAAAATTCGATTTCTTACTGAGAAATTTGAACTCATTGATTTTAGATAATATTGGTTATATTGCGTTTGATTTCCGTAGGCGGATTATTCTTCTTGAGTTTGATTTAATAATAAAATTTGCCTTAATACTCTATTAAGGATTATTGATATAATTGTTAAGAATTTTTTTTTATCTTACGCAAGCATTATCTGTAGGAGGGAAACCGGTAGGGGTGGGGGGTAAATGTGATGTCTTAATTTATGTTCATTTATGTTCATTCTCTTTCTCTATTTACATGAAGCTTTTCAAATAACACCAGTATACTCATCATACTGTAAAATCCTTCATTTCAAAACCCGACTAGACGTATGTAAGTTTGTGTACATTAATTATATAGTCGCGGCATTTGATTATACATTGTACATACAATATAGATCGATCTTACACGGAATTTAGGTATATTCTGTACTAGAAAACAAAAATATTTTAGATTAAAAATTACGTGATTTATAAAACAAATGAAATAAAATACAATTATTCAAGATATACTCCTAAACTTATCCATGAAAGGACTACCAAATCAGTTCTATTAATTTTACTGTTAACGGCTAGAAAATCGGATTTACAAATAATAGATGAAATAAGTTGTACCCATAAATTTTTATAGAACCATTTTATGTCAAAAAAATATAACCCAGTCGTAATTTTCGGGTGTTGCTAAAACGCGGAACGGAAAACGGAACGGAAAGCGGAACGGAACGGAAAACGGAAAAAATTTTGTCAAACAAATAACATAGATTCAATATAAATCAGTCAAAGAACAATATTCTTGTTGTAAAAGTCATTTCTAATAAAAATTTATTGTAAACTATTATATATTCAAGAGTTATACACACTCTCCTTGGAAAAAATGCTACTGAAAGAAATCCCCCCCCCCACACACACACACGAAATAGAATTTTCGTTTTTGGGCAAAAGAAATATCCCCCCTTTTTTGCTTGTCAAATTTGTTGTATGTTGAATTTTTTTTTCTTACCCCCACTCCCTCTTTCAATGTCAATGTCTGAAAAGACAAAAACATCTACTTATGCTACTGTAAATCACTTTTAATTCGCTAGAACTTTATTTACGCGTTACCGTAATTACGCGAGACGGTATGCTCGCAAAAATTTCATTCTCGCGTATTTTAGAATTCCTTAAGATTATATAGAGAAAAGACCACAAATCGTGAAAATTATGTCTCGCTTATAAAGAGTCAATGACTACCTCGCGAAAATAAGGTTTCGCGAAAATAAAGTCATCTCCAGTATTCAGATTATGCATGCAGTGTCGAATCCGCGAGTCATGAAAGGGGGGGGGCAGTTTCGGGTAGTGTAGGGCCCAAAAGCCACATTAAAAATTGATTTATTAAACCTTATGTACATTTTGGACACAAAAACGGGGGGGGGGGGCCTATTACAACTTCTCAGATCTTTTTGATGAGCGGTAAAACACACTCATGTTTTACGGGGTCATTCATATACACCCCCCTCCCCCCAACATGCACACATATGTGCAGCAAACAAACAAAATTTAACTTTAATGTATGCAAAAATTCTGCAATCTGCATTATATCTACCACAACTCTGTCTATCCAGAAAAGGACTCTATATTAAATAAAATTTTAACGACCATTGTGTATCAGAGATGTTTATTCGAGCTTACCCTAGACGTAATCTCAATATTTTTTTAAAATCATTTTTCTTCTCTTTCCATGGTTCATTTAGATACCAAATATTTGCCCCCCCCCCCCCAAGTCATAACCTTTTAACTACGGAAATGTTCGTTCAAGTTCACATTTTCACACTTTTTGTGAATATAATAAACATTGTAAGTTAGTGTAAAAAAAATAGTACCGAAAAATGTTGGGAGTTGGAACTTATCCCCCTCTTGAATCAAACAATTGTTTTCATTTTGTGCTTTATCTCCCTTCCCAAATCAAACAATTGTCTTCTTTTTGTGTTTTTTTTTCTTGTCAAAATTTTTTCCAGTTCGTTTGACCCCCACCTTTTTCAATGTTGATTACATGTAACTGCTATGTTAGCGACTTTTGTAAATAAGAGACTAAGCATGGCAAAATCAATTTTATTTAATACTGGGGGATTGATTGTGTAAAAATGTACAAGATATATGGTTCGTGATAAAATTTGTGTATTTTAAGTGATTTAATCCAAAATGATATATTCCGTTTTCCGTTCCGTTCCGCTTTCCGTTCCGCGTTTTAGCAACACCCGTAATTTTCAGGTGTCATTAAGCCGTGAACTCAACAGGTATATAAATAGCAAAACAGGTTTTCAGTTTCATGCACTCGGAGCCCGTGATCGCTGTTGTAAATGACCTTGATCACAGTTGAATTAAAGACGGAAAGAAGATTCCAATATATTTTAAGGGGTGTACATGTATCTGTATACACATTTAACAAAGGATTTAAAAAAGAATAGAAAATTAACAATTATTCAAACTAACGTTAACATTAGATTGAAAGTTACAACAAAAAAATAAAATTCTGTACTAGTAATTTAACACCCCCCCCGTTTCTAAACATGCCGTCGTTATGGCATGTGAATTAAAATTATAATTCAATTATTTGACAATAATTAGCAACAAATTTTATGTATTAAAAATATTAACTCTTTGCCTATCACGCCGTCTGTGACTTAATAGTAGCATTACATTTGTTTCTATTTAATGACGTTATCCTTTTCCCCACAGCGCACTTGCGATTACGTGCTGAAAAAACGTGGTTTTGAAAATGAATATTTACACGTGTATGTAGCAATGGTTGTCGTATATATTGCCACCAACATATATATCAGTATATATATATATATATACTTAATAGAAGAATTGCTCTTCACCACATGTTGTATTCTGTCTATTACTTTATTATCTTTATATGTAATCATATATGTTAAATGTTTATGCCTTATGGGCCCTGATTGGTAATAAATTCTATTCTATTCTATTCTATATCGCCATAATATTCATGCAACCATCTTTAATGTTGAATTCAAGTATTAATGGTGATATTATCCTGTTTATTTAGTTCACATGTTTCATGTGGAATGGTACAAACTAAATCTATTTACTTAGCTTACAACGTATTTATTTTAAATTTCAAATTTAAGCCCAAAACCTCGATGAAAATAATTTCTTGATTTTTCCGACAGGGTGTCATTTCATGCTTGTGTTAAACAACGATCCCCCCCCCTTTTTTAATTTCTTCGGTCCATGCATAACGATTTTATCGAAACTTGCAAAAACTTTAATAATAAATAAGAATAGAAATGAGATCGTGAAGAGAATGATTATCACTTGTGAAGATTTTTATAAAAGTTATTTCACCGATTTTTTAGGACAAAAAAGAAGTTATAGATTTCAGCATATCTAATTTTTTTTAATTAAGAGGTTTCTTTTTTTTTTTTTTTTTTTTTTTTTTAAATTTGTTTTACATACAAATATTGTTGGAATATATCGCTTAATTTTATATTGAACAATAAAGAGGAGTATTGATTTTCGAAGGGAAACATTTCATTTTTAAGTTAAAATTTAACTTATCACATCTTCTTTTTAATATTTTGACCGATATACGGATGAGATACTGCCGTCGGACTCGGCCTTAAAATAATCAGTCTTAAATTAGCGTTATATATCTAATCCTTACTAGCAAAGTTTACCGATCCGAAATCTACTGTGGTGGATCGGAAACCCTTGGCTAGCGAAGATTGAGGAATCTTTACCCCTACAGGTACATGTGGACTAATAAAAAAAATCATCAAACTTTTTTATTGGCCTAAGGTGAAAAAAAGAAAAAGAAAGAAAATAGAACAAGTAAATAAATGAAAAATTACAAATAAAAAAACCCATCGAAATGCAATAGTTCTTTTCTTAAGAATGAAATTTAATCACATTTTTAAAAACAATGTAATAGTTTACAAGAGAGGCCAAGAACTTCTCGGACGTGGCGGTCAGTACTGGACATTAATCCCCATGGTGTCTGAAGTATTCCGATTATTTGTGGAGCAAATCAAGGAGAGTTCTTTAGAAAGGTTTCTTTAAAAATGCATTAATTGTAGCTGTAGTTATTGAGAAATTAATATTAGCAGGTATTTCCACAATTTTTCCAAGTGTTATCAAAGGAATTACTTAGTAAAAAATTTTGCCTTGATTATCATAGTGAACGCGATAAATTTTATGAATATGCAGCGTCGATGCAGACGCAAACCTGTCCACTTTTAGAAAATGAATACTTTTTCTATAAAAAGAAACTTGCGGAAAATAAAGTCAGATTAAGAAACATGGTATACAATAAAATTTAATCTATCACTCAGGATCTATCAGGAGCTGGTGTGTAGTAAATTCACAGATTTTTTTTAATATCTATACTTTTGTGATTGCTCGGTTATCCCTATGATCATCATATTATTAAAATATAGAATTTAACGGCATAAAAAAAAATTGATTGTAATTTGTAAAAGATATGCAATTCTGACCGAAATAAATGTTCATATAAATCAGAATGGATAAATTAATAAACAGATCACCTCAATATATTTCAGTAATGAAAAAATATATTCTTACTACTTTTTCTTTTCGATATTTCATGGTTTATTTGGCAATTTTTAGTTATCTTTTATTTTCCGACATTTATGAATAAGTAAATTTAAGGTAATAAAACTGGAACTGAAGACTCTCCTACATGTATCTGAAAATCAAAATCGAACAATAAATCATTGACAATAAAATAATAAAGGTAAAAGCTTCGCTTCGTTTTTAAAGAAAACCATGACAAAGTGCAATCACTGACATAATATAATTCAAGTGTACTTGATTTTTGTTACCTTTCGATTATTCATAAACTTAGTAGACATACCCCCCCCCAAAAAAAAAAAAACGGAAATGCAAAGAATTGTCGGAAATGCAGAGCATAGTTCCTGAAACTTTATAAATGAAGTACACAATATCAGATCAATCCTTCTATATAACAAGCCGTTGATCGGAGAAAAAAAAAAATTCTAGAAATGCTGAATATACCGGTAATTCCGGAGATTGATGTAGGAAATAATTTAGACCGCTGTTGGTCAAAGATGTTTAACACCCACCCCCCCCCACCCCCCAAGAATGGAGTTTTTAGCGCCTAAATGCATTGCTCCTAATACATGTATCTCTGCACTACCCTTTGCATGAATACAGTCACGAGTTAACTGTCCATTCACAAGGTAGATGTCAAATGGATTTTTTTTGTGTGTATAACGTAAACATGTATAGCTGGTGGAAGAATGATTTATCACATCGTTGTCCTCTTATGGAAAGTTTACTGACATATTAAGTTTTTCTTAAACCTATCATTTCTAGTGTATGCAGTGTTGAAAAAATTGAATCTACAGGGTACACGTATATATATAATTCTTAAACTACATGTGAAAACGGATAGGTGAATATTTTTAAATATACTGACAATATTAACGTTCTCAAGGCGGATCAAAAATATTCCTAAGGAACTACATTTGTATTTACCCACTTATAAAACTAATCACTGGACACATTTTTTTATTATACCCCCGCTCCGAAGCCAAGGAAAGAGGAAGGGGGAAGGGGTATACTGTTTTACCCTTGTGTGTTTGTCCGTCTGTCTAGCTGTTTGTGAGTCTGTCAGTAAGTTTTGATCGCAGTTTTCGCAGCAACTACTCATCACAGATGCTTGAATTTTCGCACATTCTCCACTGATGCATGCAATATAGTGGGATCCATTTTTTTAAAATTCAATGTCAACTGCCTGTTAATCCGTGCGTCTGTCGTAGAATACATAACACATTCCGTCGCAGTTTTTTTTTCCAGCAACTACTTGTATTGCAGATGCTTGAAATTTAAGCACATACTTTGTTGTGGCATGCCATGTGATGGGATTTATTTTGGTATGAATCTGATGTCAACTTCCTATTTGTCCGTGCATTTGCCCGTAACTGAACTTGTGTAAATTTTAATTACTGTAGATCACTATATTTTCGCGACACCTTATTTTCGCGACTTATCTATGTGGTATTTATGAGCGAGACAAAATTTTCGCGAGTTGTGGCTTTTGTTTTATATAAATATACATAATACGAATATACACGAGAATAAAACTTTCGCGAGCAGACAGACTCGCGCAATTACGCGAAAATAAAGTTCTCGTGAAGAAAAAGTGATTTACAGTAACAAATCAGTTTATTTTCACATCAGGGCAGGGTATTACTAGCGACCATTGGCTGACAGACTTGTGTTTGTCCAGCCCTGTTTTTAAAAATATCAAACTAGTATGTACTATACTTGCCTTAGATTTTCCCGAATACCTTGAATTGTTTTATGTATATACATGTAAGTATATTTTTAAAAATCAATACATACGAGTAAGTGCAACACTTTTTTACGAATATTAGAAACGTTGAGTCGATAACGAAATCATTCAAATTCAAATTAACCAACATTTTTTTTTAACACGATATTGCCGTTTCTTAAGTTTTTTTTCCTTTCCAATTGTGTATGTATTTTTTTTTTTATTGCTGTGTAAGGCGGAAACAATAAGGTTGTATTTTTACGAAATTTGAATTTAAACCGAACGAGAAATAAGGTTAAATTTAAATTAAACCAAAGCTTTATTATATGAACAAAACCTCTTTTCTATTCAGTTGTACGAGTATGAATTAACTTAAATCTTTTTTAAATTTATCCGTTCCTTCTGTCGATTTCTGCAAACACGTTTATCAAATATTTACATAAAAAATACATTTGTCGAATTTGATAAATTCGGGATCATGGGCCCCATCTCACACATGATTGGGGGATATCTACGTCACCAACCCAGTGGTTCAGGTGGTGAGCTTATTTAGTGTCAAAAGAAAAATTTGTCTCGCATCCCAAGTTTCGTCTATTACATTGAACGACTCGGACATATTAAAACGAGGAAAAATATTCTTATTTGCGAAATATTTTAGAATAAACTTTAAAAATATATTATTTATCATTAATTGTCATACCATCAAAACTTTAGGCGGTATCAGAGCAGAAAACGTCAAAAACGCAATATGCGTTAAAGTGCGTGATTGTGGGGTAAAGGTATATGCGTTAAAATGCGTGATTGTGGGGCAATGGTATATGCGTTTAAATGCGTGACTGTGGGGAAGGGGGTTAAATGACACATCGTGTCAAAACTTTCTTTCACGTACTTTAAGTGTAAAGACAAGAGCGGAGTTCTGATGTATTTTTGCTTTAAATAAAAAAAATGATTATACCGGTATTTATTTTGTTTCTTTGAGAAAAAATATTTCAGAAGCCATGATCACTTTCATAGTATATTGAATTCAATGCCCTTCAAATTGTTGTACAAAGTTGATTAATCTGAACACATTTTCTTGGAAGGAAAAGAAAACAAATAAATATATATTATACATTACCGAGTAATTTCGTTTTGTTGTTCCATTATTTTTACTCCAAAAATATCAGAATCATAACTGATTTAATATTAAAATACAAATACAATTTGACATCCTGACCCATCGATAGCCAGATTTAAAATGAAATGACTTCCGAATGAATCTTACCCGATTCTTGTACGAAAGTCACACGTTTCTCACACGATTCTTATACGAAAGTCGCACGTTTCTCACACGTTTCTCACACGCTCGCTACACGGTTTGCACGAAACACTTTAGAGCTTACACGAAACGCTGCACGGTTTACACGAAACGCTTCACGGTTTGCACGAAACTCTGCACGGTTTACACGAAACGCTACACGGTTTGTACGAAACGGAAAGCGCACGAAAGTTACATGCTTTTTTGGGGTAGTAGTACGTCTCAGGTCTGTAACTTTTTATTAAACCATGTTTTCATATGTTAATAAAATTATTTACATACTTATGATTTATAACATTTTAATGCTTTAAATGTCTGGAATTATACTGGTAATTTTCGTTCAATATAGAGAATCTAGTTTTTTATTCAAATTTATATTTCCCATTTTCTTCTTCGAATTATATTCCACAACGTATATTGAATAAAAAAAAACAATTGCGATTATATCTGGGTATTAATGTTATTATTTCCTTATATCGATATATGACTGCCGTCACGAGGAAAGGGGCCCTTCAGGTCAAATTTTCACAAATTGACTTTTTGGTAAATTTTGATAGCCGGACTCTTTTTGGATGCAAATATATATAAATTTTGAAATTATCTCACGTTTTCGGTATTTTATGAGTATTTTAGTGAGGCGCTCCAAAAATAACTTTGACTTTACTCAGTGAAAACGTAATGACGTCGCCTGCGTCTAATTCAATTTAAAAAAAATTCTTAAGAATACATGTTATTTAAATAACCTCAATCGTATTGAGAATTAAAGGAAGTATTTAATTTTTTTCCTAGCGACTAGTACTTGTGTAACTATCTTTTAGGGGTTTAGCAATTTCGTAAAAAAAGGGGGATGAAGTCAGAAGCTAGTTTATTCCTTTTATAAACATTCATGAAAAAATATAAGTTCCCTTCTTCCATACAAGTGGATTTGAAAAAAAATTACGTTTTTGAATATTTTATTTAAAATGTTTAAAGCTCTACGTTTCCATTGTTTATACAATTCATTTTCTTCGCCTGTCTTTGTTACATGTATGGAGTCGAAACGTAGTAAATAGGCAAATAAAGGACAAATGAATCATTTATTTTTATACCGTATCTTAAATTTAAACGTTCATTTAATTTAGACGTCAATTTGAAAGCGTCTTTTAACTTTTAAGTTTTTTAAAAAGCAAATCACAATTAAAATTGGTTACAAATATTTGTACACATTACATGTACCCCCCCCCTTTTTTTTAAATGTTGCAACTGTACCGTGTTTCACACTAACACAACATTTGTATATTTCTTACAAGGACCGCTACTAATATTTCAAAAAAAAATATTTATGTACAATATTATATAATTAAATCAATAGATGGTAATTGTGCTGTTCTTTTCTCTTTTTTTTATATGTACACTAAAAGGTGCTTGAATTTTCTGTCCGAAATTACAGATCCATTAAAATTTTGGGGAATTTTTTTTGAAACTGAATGATTACTAATATATTTTCACGCAGGAACGTCAGGTCCCTAGGAAGCCATTTCAGTTGGGGATGGAGTGGGTGGGTGTAGCTATATTTTTTTTTAGTTTTGACAAGCAAAACAAATTTTTTTTACGACCACGAACGGTCATCTTTTCATTTTCCTCCGTGACAATGGATATTTTTTTTCACATTTCGATGCGACTGTCTCATCTAATAATGAAATCTAACGTCCAACATTCGTTCAGAACATACCAAACATATAAAAAGAACAACATTTGGCTCG